TCCTAAGCCTGGAGAATGATGTGAGGCACCTGGTTTGGTCACTGCACACTTAGTACCAACACCCTGTGTGTGGGGGAGGCATTTCACAGGCATCAGGCAGTGCAAGGAGGGAATCAGAAGTTGACTAGGAACCCACAGTGAGAGAAGGAGGATGACCCAGGACATGGCATCTAAGATTAACTCCTGGTGAGAAATGGGGCAGAATAGTCCTTGTGCCCAGGCAGGGACTCTGAACAGAAGCCTCCCACCAACAACAATGTCTGTGAGGATGAGACAGAAGCCAGGCCAACATCCAGTTCTGCTGTCTGCACCCTGGCAGGTGCTTAATAAACGTGAGGGACACTACAGCACAGAAGCATATAACCTTGTATGACACCTGGGGTCAGAGTATGTTCCCTGTAGATCAGGACCTGGTGTCAGCATGGGTGGAGGGCAGCAAGTCCCCACAGCTGTGCAACAAAGAGTCAGGAGGGAGGACTTGGCCTCCTAACCGTCAGGTTTAGGATCTCCCTTCATTCCCAGAAACCAGACAGCCCTCCCCACCTTGTGAGTGACATCTCCTCTTGCTGGAGGACATCGGGAACAGCCTGTGTCCCAGCTCTTGTCACAGAGACCTGACCTGGCACAACTCTGGACTCTCACTCAACCCCAGGTGCCTGAGAATCAAGTCTCCTGTTGTGGTCACCAGCCATGGCTCAGCCCCAGCAGCCATATCCAGGCAGGGGTAGAGCCTGGTCCTTCACCTGAGACTGTGTGGAGAGCACAGACAGACAAGGTTCCTATGCCATTAACCCACTGCCCTGGGGGACTTAGGAGACTCCAGAGGAAGGTCAGGTCCCAGGGAAGAACAGAGGAGAGAAAATGCTTCTGGAAGCTCCTTGTCCACCAGGTGTCAGCCAAGGGGTTTTCTTTCATGGAGGCAAGAAATGGTAGTTGCCATTTATTTGGGAGGCTCCTCTCTACTAGGCTTGGGATCAAGTAGTCAGGGATGTTTTGAGGTTAATTCACAGACAACATGGTAATCCATAGTTCATTTACCATTTACTCAATTTTTATTCAGGGGAAAAGGAGGCACCGAGTGACAGTCATTGAGTCAGGCTACTGCAGACCATGAGCAGCAGATCAGACACAGCAAGGTCCTTACACAGCCACAGCCCCACCCTCTCCTTCACCTCAGGGGTCTTAGGTGTCTGTGGATCCTGAAACCAGGTCCTTTCTTCTTCGCAGTCTCCATATCAAGGTAGATTTTTCTGGTCTGGGGAGTGAAAGCAAGTGGAGAATGAATGTTTTATATCAAGAACTAAAGTACCTTCATGAACAATCAGAATCAGTGCTGTGAAAGCCCAACAGCGCGCTCAGGTGGCTGATCCAGACCTCCTTGCACTGTACTTGAAACCACTTATTTGTTTCCTGATGTGTGAGTGTCACTGCCACTGGATAGAAAGGAAAGAACTTTGCCTTCTCACTCCTCACTCTACACTTGCAACCAACTTAGGAACCAGCACTCAAATGCTCTTACAAAAAGAAGGAAAACATTATGGTGAATGAATGAATAAATGATACATAACCTCTGTACAGACTGGCACCTGGATGCAGAGTGCTAGGAGGTTTTGGCCACAACTGTTCCCTGTCCTCAGGGGCTGAGAGCCATGTTCATCCCTCTGAACCCATGACCCCAGGAGCCAAGTCCCATGGTGACTATGGGGCTGTTCCACTGTGGGAGGGTTTTCCAGGCTGCACTGGTCCTGCCCTGGGGCAGATGTGGGCTCTTGGTCCCTGGGGTTTTGAAATCACCTATAACCCCACTACTTGTCCATTCGAAATTCTAAAGCTTTGTCTTTCATTAATGAAGTAACTGTAACTCTTACATTCCCTGACAGGAGGCACTTTGAACCTGTGATAAAGTTATAGGTAATTTAATGGAAAGACTACTCTATTCATGTAATCTCAAGTTTGCTTATGAGGAAGAGAGAGAGAGAGAGAGAGAGAGAGAGAGAGAGAGAGAGAGAGAGGAGATTAAGCAAGAGAAGGGAAAAAGCAGATATGGCCATGAAAGCAGGGAAGGAAGGCATGTGATGTAGGGACATGAGCCAGGAATGAGTAAAAGCTCCAGAAACTTGAAAAGGCAAAAAGAGGTTCTCCCAGAGAGTCTGGGAGGGGAACAGGGTCCTGCACACACACAAGATTCCAGCACAGTTACACCCATTCCCAGCTTCTGGTCTCCTGGACTGTTAGAGATGGTGTAAACAGGCTGGATGTCTTATCCACTCAGATACACTTTGGAGACACCCAGGTGATCACTTGCTCCCTCCCTAATCCCTTGTCTGAAAGATCCTGCACAGCCTCCAGAGGTTGGCACATCAGGACAAGGAAAACTTTAAAGTCTCCTCACTGATATTGGTAGAAACACTGACCAAATTACATGTTTGATAGTTGACTGATGACATGCTAGAGAGCTGGAAGGACCCTAATCTCCAACATTGTTGCAATTCCACATGAATTTTCACCTCACATGTAAGGGAGCAGATGCACAAATCTTTCAAAGATCTTCTGTCAGAGAACCTTGATGGTGTATGAGGTGTTAAAACTCCTTAAAAAGGCAATGGAATGGAGCCCGAATGCTACTAGACAAACAGTTGCCAACCCGGACAAGCGCCCTCCACCCCAATGCCTTCAATGCCCTGTGATCACCCAGCTCACTCCAGGGAAGCACACACAACACTGCAAGTATTTCTGTCCTCACCTTTGGGGTTTTTTTTTTTTTTTTTTGATTCTTCACAAACTCCACTTGCCTGTCCCAATGTGAGTCCACACACAGGATACAGGGAAATGGGAAGTAAAATCTATCCTCTGGGTTCTGTTGGGCCCTGTGACCTTGGGTTGGCCTCTGAGCATAGAGCAGAAACCTAGAGAGACCTGGGGGTCAGATGGCCTTTAGAAACCAGGGGCTGCCATGGTTAGCAGAAAGGGGTGAGGTCTTGGACACAGTAGGGAGCAGAACTATAACCATTGGGGAAGCAGGAAGGGTAGAAAGGTATGGGGCGTTAGGGTTATGGTAAGACAGTCTGTTGTAGTCAGGGTAGCCGGCAGCAGGGTGAGCACAGCCCAGCTGGCCACTTCAGAGGTGTGGGCCATGCAGGGGCAGCACAGAGTTCCACTGGTCTCCAACCAGAGCCCAGGGATGTCTGGGCGCTGTGTCCTGCATCAGAAGGTGGGCTGAGGTTTGTGCCATCTCCAGGCTTCCTGTCTGCAGGTCCTAAAGCACCCCTCTGCACTCTGAACCTGATACCCTGGTTAGGGAACACTAGGGATTCTCACCCGTGGCCACAATGGCTAAGGAGGAATTTCTGACACCAAGTGCACCAAAAGCTAGAAAGATGAAAGCATAGGGCCCAAGCACACAGGGCCAATAGCTGGCAAGATAATCAGATAGAAAATAAAGAGCTTCTGGCCCTATTCCCATAGGAACTCCAGGATTGAGCAGGGAGAAGGGGTGCTCTTTGAGAGGTCAGTCCATCATGCTCCCAGGCGTGGAGCCTAAATAAGCCTCTTTCCTTTTGCACCAGCACCTGCCTCACCAGTTTGGCTTTTGTTGCAGCAGCTACTTGATCCTGTGTTTTGGTCACATTAGTCTTGGTTGAGGATGAAGAGAATGTAGGAGGACTAGGGAGGGGTCAGATCTTCAGGCACAGGCTGAGGATTCCAGCCTGCAGAGGGGTGGAAAAGGCGGGTGGGCTGGTGTCGGGAGGAGCATATGGTCTATAGTCCAGGGATCACAATGTCTAGAGTGAGGGCCAGGGTTTTCAATGTCCAGCTTTGGTCAGGTAACATTAGCGCTACATGTTTCCCAAAGTGGGTCTGGATCCGGCATTTTCAATTTTCCCTCCAAGCTCCATAGAAACACAAAATGTCAACTTGCCTGTGCCCCAAGGCCTCTGATCCTGAGACTGCAATTGGGAGTAAGTGCCCACAAATGAGGCATCAAGCGGGTTTTGGGGTTCCTGGTGGAAGAGGATAGAGTGGCATGGTGTCTTTTCAGCTTGCTGAGCCCAAGGGGTTGAGGAAAGGAATGAGGCTTGGGGACACAGGACCTTAGATGTCTGCGGTAAATGTGGAGCTGAAGCCTCTCCAGGTGTAAGAGCTATATGCAAGGTTTTCTTTCTTCTTACCTAAAGGATCTCTGCAGTGAAATGTGCTCTTGTCCATTAAGCATTCCCATCATTGCACTGTTTTCCCAAAAGAGCTGGTAGGGTACTACACCAACTGATTCAAAAGCTGTGTATTCAAAGGTACCTGCACAGATCAGTCCAGTTGTGAAGACTTTTCCCCACCAGGAGAATGAGGCTCATGGCCCTTCCAGCCACCTGAGGAGGTGCTGCCAATACCTGGAGAAGGGGAGGACCTGAGCCTCTTGGGTCCCAGTTACCAAAAATATGACACCAGGAAGCCTTTGGGAGGTCTCCCTGTGTTCCATTCATTCTATTGTTTTACCCTCTAGACCAGTGGTTTTCAACCTTCCTAATGCCGTGACGCTTCAATACAATTCCTCATGTTGTGGTGACCCCCAACCATAAAATTATTTTCGTTGCTACTTCATAACTGTAATTTTGCTACTGTTATGAATTGTAATGTAAATATCTGATATGCAGGATGTATTTAGGCGACCCCTGTGAAAGGGTTGTTCGACCCCCAAAGGGGTCGCCACCCACAGGTTAAGAACAGCTGCTCTAGACTATTATTTCTACTCTGGTCCATCCCCATATCGCTCACTTAGAGGAGAAATTGCCCCTCAAACCACCCACAGTGTGGACTCGGTCTAGAGATTCTCCATTTAGGCAGGTGGTCAGCAAAGTCACTCAGGACACTTAACTCCTCAATTTTAGCCTTTGGACCTGCTTTTCCCAAGTTCTCGAAACCCAGTGCAGCCTCAAGCTCCTTATCAGGCAGCCCCATTACTCATGAAGCTCTTTTTCTCTCCCAGTCTCCGCTTTGCCCCATGTGCCCATCCCAGTTTCAGACAGACCTCAACACAGACACAGGCCTTACACTGTATTCTGTTTACCAAGACTTTATTTTATTCAGTTTCAAAACTGCTTGGTTAGTCAGGCAATCAGATTCAGTAAAATTATGAAGGCAAAAGGCTGATAAAAGTTCCTGCAAAAATATTTTCAATAAGATATATTTTTATTTTGTGATTGTAAATCAATAAATTGGTTTAGTTGTGATTCATCCAGGAAGGCAAGTGGTTGCTCACTCATAATTGATCATTGTTTTCCATGATCATTTATTATTTTTTCTTAAGCCACATTGGTGCAGATTGGTTCATGAAGATTTTTCTTCCTAAAGAAATAAGTGATATTTTTCATATGTTTAACAAACTGGGTTTCAGTAACAGCAGCAATCTTCCTCATTACAAACTTAAGAATAGTCTTAACTGCAAACATAGGTACTTGTTTAATGATCTTCATTACCTTGCTATTTCGGTATGTTATTAATTTTTCTGGTAAAAATAGCATCTGGTATTCATTCCAAATAGACTAGATATATCAACTAGATATTTGATGAGCAAGCCTTGAATGAATGAAATTATCATACCTTTGGAAAACATGATGACTAGGTATTTCAGTCTCAGCTGTGACTTCAAACCTGGTGCCACTTGTTCTGTGCTGGGTCTTAATTTATCGAGGTGACTGAAAACAGAGGCCAATGTCATGAACATAAAAGCAATTGGGTTCTCAGTTCCCCTGGACAGGAGTGGCACTACTCACCCAGCTGAGACACAGTAGGACTGCCAGATTTGGGGAAGGTTGTGATGAACAAAAACAGATCCAGAGACAGAGAAGCATCGATCAGATGGTAAAACCTCAAAGGGAAGGTAGGGAAGGGTGGGGGTAAGGGGAAGAGATCAACCAAAGGACTTAAATGCAAGCATATAGGCCTAACCAATGGACACAGACAACAGGAAGTGAGGGTATGAGTGCGGGGGGGGGGGGAGTAACGTGGGGAAAAGGACATATATGTAATAACTTAATCAATAAATTTTTTAAAAAGATAAATGCAAGGGGCAGGGCTAAGCTTGAGCTTTGATTGTGTGGTTTCCCAGGAAGGGCTCTAGAAGCAAAGGGTTTAACATTTTCTAATCTGACAGACAAACCCCAGTGTGCTTGGAGGGGAAATATCCACGTGGTGTGAGAGTTAGATAAGGAGGTAGTTGCACCTCAATAAAGTTGAACACGTAATAACATGTGATCCTTCTAATTACCTATCTACACTAATAAAAGAGAAACATGGTAATTGGCGTACGACCGCTACCCTTCCCATTGGCTAATCAGCATATCCTTATGCAAATTAACTGTCAGCCAAGATGGCGGCCGGAGCCAGGCAGCTGGAAGCGAACATGAGGCTTGCTTGCTGCAGTGACTGCACACTGCAACGTTCCCCGCCTGACTTACCGGCCTCTGAGCTGGCAGTTTGAAACATTCTAACAAATATAGGCCAGGATCTCAGAGCTGAAGTTATACATTGTTTCGATTATAGAACCGAAACAAACCAGATACCTGCTCTCAGAGCTAGAGCCAGAGTTAAAGCTGGCCCAGAATAAAATAAAAAAAAGGAGCGGTTGGGAGCTTCAATCAACAACCACCAGCCTGAAAGAAGCCCTCAACCCCTCACCCAGACTGGCCAGGCACCCCAGTGGGGACCCCCACCCTGAAGGGTGTGTGACCAGCTGCAAACAGCCATCATCCCCTCACCCAGGCTGGCCAGGCACCCCAGTGGGGACCCCCACCCTGATCCAGGACACCCTTCAGGGCAAACCAGCCGGCCCCCAGGCCTCTATCCTATATAGTAAAAGGGTAATATACCTCCCAGCACCGGGATCAGTGGAGCCGCGAGGCCTCCTGGCACCGGATCAGCGTGACGGGGCAGCGCCCAAACCCCCTGATCGGCCCTGCTCTGTGTGTGACAGGGTGTGGCGCCCCAACCCCCCCACCACCACCACAGGCCCTGCTGTGTGTGTGACAGGGTAGAGCCATAACCTCCCCATCGGCCCTGCCCTGAGTGTGACAGTGGCTGCGCCCCAACCCCCTGATCGGCCCTGCTCTGTGTGTGACAGGGTGTGGCGCCCCCCCCCCCCACCACCACCACAGGCCCTGCTCTGTGTATGACAGGGTAGAACCATAACCTCCCCATCGGCCCTGCTCTGTGGGTGATAGAGGGCGGCGTCCCAACCCCCTGATCCACCCTGCTCTGTGTGTGACAGGGGGCGGTGCCCCAACTCCCCTATCGGCCCTACTCTGTGAGTGACAGAGGGGAGCTCCTCAACCCCCTGATGGTCCCTGCTCTGTGTGTGACAGGGGGGGAGCTCCCCAACCCCCTGATGGGCCCTGCTCTGTGGGTGATAGGGTACGGAGCCCCAACTCCCCTGGTGGGCCCTGCTCTGTGCATGACAGGGGGCAGCGCCCCAACCCTCTGATCCGCCCTGCTCTGTGTGTGACAGGTGGCGGTGCCCCAACTCCCCTATTGGCCCTACTCTGTGAGTGAGAGGGGGGAGCTCCTCAACCCCCTGTTGGGCCTCTGCCCTGTGTGTGACAGGGTATGGAGCCCCAAACCCCCCTGATGGGCCCTGCTCTGTGCGTGTCAGGGGGCAGCAACCCCAACTCCCCAATCGGCCCTGCTCTGAGCCCAACCAGGGGCTGCATCCAGGGATTGGGCCTGCCCTCTGCCACCCGGGAGCAGGCCTAAGCCAGCAGGTCATTATCTCCCGAGGGGTCCCAGACTGGGAGAGGGCACAGGATGGGCTGAGGAGCCCCCTTTCCCCCCGAGTGCACAAATTTTTGTGCACCGGGCCTCTAGTATATATATAATAGAGAAATAGGCTAATTAACCAGGATGCCGTAACGGGTGGGCCGGACAGGAGGAGGTTGCACGTGCAGCATCAGGGATGGGATGGCAGGGGCCTCCACACACCTGCACTGGGGGAGGGCCTGATCAGCAGCAGCTGCAGCTGCTTCAAGGGCCAGAGAGGGAGGCAGGGCCGGACCAAGGGTGGGTGGCACCATGCGATTTCGAATGGTGCGCTGAGCTCCTAGTAAAACATATAAATGTTAATATAAATGTTAATTTTAGACAGTTGAGACTGTCTAAAATTATAAAGATTTTTTTAAGATAAGGAGCTAGTTAGCTGGCATATGAGAAACCTGCTACCAAGTAACTTAATCACTATCTGTAGAAATTGGTGGGCCAATTATGTGAAAATATTTAAAATACAACTCAGAGCCAGATCACTATTTTGTTTTAAATTTTCAAATCAAATGGCCATATTATAATGAATATAAAGTTTTTCTTAAAATTAACAGACAAAAATTATTACATTTCACGTATATATCAAAATATAACTATCCATCCATGGGACAATATTGAGAGACTTTTACACACTTAAACTAAAAGAAGTACATATGATTTTTATAAATATTAAACTAACAAAGCCCTAGCTGGTTTAGCTCAACAGATAGAGGATCAACCTGCATACTGAAAGGTTCCAGGTTCGATTCTGATCAAGGGTATGTACCTCAGTTTCAGGAGCCTCCCTGGCCCAACCTTGGTGCAAGTGGCAACCAATTGATGTTTCTCTCACATCGACATTTCTCTCTGTCTTTCCCTCTCTCTTCCACTCTCTCTAAGAAATCAATGGAAAAATATTCATGGCTGAAACTTCAAAAAAATATATATATATATTAATTTAATAGAAACAAGTAAGTATGCACTAAAATATATATTTGAACAACTGTATATATATATATATATATATATATATATATATATATATATTCCAAAATATATTTGAATAACACACATCAAATGAAATAGATAAAAATAAATCAAGCCTAATGAAAAAACAAAATAAAAATGTTTGATAGTGATTAATAAGACAAACGGCAAAGATAAAGTAAAAGATAAAAGATAAAGGAATACAACAAAACTAAACATAAAAATTAAGTATGCACATTTTTTTAAAAAAAGCTTTGTCTACATGTTTTTCCATTGTGCAATGAAGTAAAGTTTGACAATTTTTATGTGCAGTGGTTAAATATTTTTTAATTACATTTAAAGAAACAAATTTAAAAATTTTATGGCCAAAAAAGGTGAGTTTATATTTTTTAAAAAAGAAAGAAAACTTTTGATAAAGAGCAATGAAAGGAACAAGAAAGAGAAGCAAAGATAATGGGGCGAAGCTACCATCTGTGGGATTATGACTGAACGCCTCTAAGTCAGAATCCCGCCCAGGCAGAATGATACAGCAGGCCTGCGGGACCCTCCGTTGCCCTCGAAAAGCCGGCCCCCGCTGTCCCCGCCAGCGGGCCCTCGCGCCCCCCCAGCGCGGAGCCCCCCGCCATGCATCGGGACCGGGGTCCGGTGCAGAGAGCCCTTCATCCTGGTAAACGGAGTGTGGCCGGAAAGGGGGCCGCCACCAAGCCCTTCACGCAATGCACGTTTGTGGGGAACCTGGCGCTAAACCATTCGTAGACGACCTGCTTCTGGGTCGGAATTTCGTACGTAGCAGAGCAGCTCCCTCGCTGTGATCTATT